GAAACACCACGTGGTGGGTAAATCCTCCCCCGAGGAGAGACTCGAAACCAGTGGCTTTTAAACACTAAATACCTGGGGTTAGAGTCTCGGTTGCTCCTTCTGGGGAGTCTGAGCCACTCTGGGTCTTCTTGTTACGCCTCGCTTGGCTCCACTCCATCAAACTACAGCACCTCGGGGGGGCGTTCTCCTGCTGTCTTCTCTAATTTCCTTTATTTTTCATTGCTGTGAACGAATTAATTTAGTTAAGTCATCAGTATTCGTTTTTTTGTCGTAAAAAACTGCAAAATAAACAGGTTTCAGAAACATCTGCTTTATGATGCACTGAGAGAAAAAAAATAACTCCGCCGAATATTTGACAAGTGGAACAGATTTACTTGAGGGAAACTAACGAAAATTATAGGAGGAAATTTAATATCTTTCACAAAAATTCAATTTTTGTCGTGGAAAAATATAATCTATTGTACGACAATCATTTGAGCTGGGAGAACTCCATAGGTTTATACCGTAGAAAGAATACATTGACGAGGGAAGAATATTTTTTCACAAAAAAATTGTCCCCTCGGAATTATTTAGCTTTGCTAACAACACAATTTTCGGCAAGAAAATTCCGGAATTCCGGAAATTTTAATCGTGTTCAAGTTCCACTGAAATTTCAGGAAATTTTGTCATTGAAGAATCAAATATTCCATGGATTTTCTGTTCAAATGATCTAAATATGAATAAAATCCTTGATTTTTCACTTTAATTATTCTCTGAAAATTCAGAAAAATCAGGAAAATTCAGAGAAAAATTGAAAATTCATGTCATTTATTTTCAAAATATTCATGTTCCATTGAAAATTCAATCGATTTATGAAATTTCCGTGAATTTCCTTGAATTCTATCGAAAATCAGAAATTTCAATGTCACTCTTATGAGAATTACTATCATATTTTCCATGAAATTTCAAAAAACTTCTCACAATATAATCCTCTATAGAACGAATGTATTTGCCCGAAAGACATGTAAATGTTTCACGAGAACAAATGTGATGTCTCACATGTTGCGGTAACTTTCTTTTTGGCCACAAGTAAATTGATTCAACACGACAAAAGATCTCAGTGCATTTCAATGCAAAGGCTTTTATTGCCGGCATCCGGAGAAATGATGCATTCAAATCAAATAAACCCCTTTATTTTTTTATTTAAAAAGAATCAACTCATATAGTTATTTGATACCACGATATTATTAACTTATTATCCACTTATTTATTCTATCAACTTTATTTATTTAATTTGAAAAATTATTTCTTTGATGAACAACTATGAGTTGGAAGACCATTTCTCTTGCTACATTACTAATAAATTTCCATTATGGAGTAAAGAAAAATATGCAAAATTCCAATTAGCAATTAAATGGAGATGAACTAGCTCTCGCACTTTATCCCTCATGTTTGACTTTGACAACTAGATCCAATTGATTTTCATGAATAATTTAGAATGATGCATGAATTGTTCCAGTCGAAGAAGTGCTGAAATTAACGCGAAAAACTGCTTGTAAAACTTTTCACGAAGTTTACGTAGAGTTTCCACGGGTTCATTCCAACCGAAAGTTGCACGAAATCACGGATGCAGATTAAAGCCATTTGAATTATGAATTATGACGAGTGTATTAATAACTCGAATTTCGGGTTTACTGCTGTGTGCAGTTCAATTCCGAAAGTTCATTGATAACGGTGGTAACATGGCTGTAAAGTGAGACTAACTGTGAGCGATAATTCGGTAATTAACGAACACCCATTCTACGTAATTCGGTGGACAATTGATAGCCGATTGATATCGATTCAATGAGTTTTCATTATGTTGCTTTTGTTGATGGGGGGGTTCAATTTTTGGTCGAGGATTTTTTTGGAGAAATTTTTATTTAAAAATGCAGGGGCTACTCAGTTCTGAAATTATGGCGTAAATCTGTGATGAAAGCAAGTCGAAACCACGTTAAATCATTGAATTTGCTGGAATCATTCATGTAATTTTTGTTTTCCGGCGCAATGTTGATAAATAAATTATTTTTCGTGAACTATTAGAGGCGAGTGGGCAAAACTGACGTTTCTCATCGTCAATAATTAGAAATTGGCCGAGTGAAATCAAATGAATTCGCCACTATTTCCCAGTTATTGTCACAATTTGAAATGAGCATTTAAATAGTATTTTTTGAAAGAACAGTTTTGATTTTCAGGGACATGTTAGTGATTTTGTCACCGATTTTTAGTGACATCATCACTAATTTGCTCCTTGCAAAAATCCAAATTCTTCTGTCATCCTGAGGACAAATATTTTCGTCGGTGACTGTACGAGACGAGAGTGATTGCCCCCGTCGCCTTCGATATTAAAGTCGTGCCACAAGGCGTCCCTGAAGGTCTCCCTCCCCCAACCTTATATTGTTCACCACCCAGTTTTACGATGCACCTCGCAAATTGCATTTTGCGAGGCAGAGAGTAACTGGAGAATAAACGATGAAACTCCCCCTCGGCCATTTTTAGAGGCGCCCAGTGTCGGGGTCAACTAAAATTTGAAAATAAAATTGAAAGACAGGAAAATGACGATGAAAAGTTGAAGGAGAAGGAATTTCATGAGGGACAATTTTTGGGAGAAATGACTCTTTGAATGGAATATATACATTTTATTTCAAATTTATTAAACAAAGAATTTAATTGAATTTGACGATAAAATTACATTTTTTAACATTTCTTTCGAATTAATAGATGCTAGAAAATTTTCAAACTATCCCGAGCTTTTCTTTTTTCAAAAACTTGATCATTATAAATTATTTATAAAAAGAATTCGTAATTTTCAAAAATTCAATCCTTCCGAATTTTCTCCGAATTTTTCAAATGTAAGAAACATTTGAAAAATTCAAACGATTCAAAATCAATGGTCAAATTCACAGTTTCAAAGTTTCAGTAAATAATAATTTTTATTCTATATTCAGAACAATTACTATACTAAAACATTGGTAAAAACCCATCCACCGAAAAGACATTCGCTAACTAATGATTTCCACCCCGGATGTCCCTATAATTTCAGCAAAAACTTTTTCCCCCGAAGCAAATAAAACCAATTCACAACAATAAATATACACAAGACACTCAATGGATGTAATCGAATTACAACGGAAGGGCCGATCACCAGTTTCCGGCTTGGGCAGAGTGCCAAAGTGTCGCGAGAGACAGTCGCGATGAATGAGTTCCGCACAACAGCTCTGAAAATTCATATCCATTCCTAAATATGTTGCACCCCCTGCCATAAAAATAGTGTTTGATTTCGTAGAATCGATAGATCATTTATATCTTTCCACGATGGCACTCGCAGAGTGTAGAAAATGCATGATGAAAGTTTGAAGAGACAGTAGTCGCTTTGGGATATCCTCACCCACTCCTCCCTCCCCTCCCCTGAAACTTTGATAATTCGCCAAGTGGTGGGTCCATTAATAATTCCACCATTGTCTGAGAATACTTTACGATTCAAACTTCTCCCAAAAATGTTGGCGATAAATTGAAGGGGCGAGAGCAACGGCTGAGGAATTCGGGGCTTCAATTAAAATTGTGGAAAATATTTTTAATTAAAAGTTTATTGGTCTCGACTCGTGGAATTTATCAGAGTAATTTCTCATTAAATTAAATCGACTAAAGTGCTCGTTTCCTCTTGGCTATGGTCTTCAATTAATCATGCAGTTCCGTTGAGTGAGTCACTGACAATAACTCAATCGAGTATTTTCACTTGTTCGTGAGGTGAACATTCCCATTGATTACCTTTTGTTCGATGATTTTGTGGATTTTCCAAGTCATCACGAATGTGTAATTACGGATCAGCTATTATTGCTGGTATCGGCTCCTGAAGCTATTATCAAAGTTCAAAACCAAGGGAATGTCATTTGTGGCTATTGCCAGTGGCACGTTGAACTTATGGCAACAGCTTGAGTTTACCTGTGTCCCAGTTTAGTCTCGTGCCTGGGTATTTTAAGACCATTGGTGCCATGTCGATTCCCTCACAATGATCTGTCAATTCGTTTTTATATATTTAGAACAATGGATATTGAATTACTTGAGGGGGTTTATAAATGTCCTCGGACAATTGATCATTCGTTTATTCCTGGAGATGATTGTTCTCAATTTAGGAACGAGGCTAGCAATTAAGATAAATTTATCACACTGGTGGGATTTTCTTTAAGTCAGTAATAGTCACATTCGAACTTTCAATTTTGTCAATTGGAATTCAATTTAAGATCAAATCGATCATGGAAATTCTTATTCATCTTGGAAATTCAACAAAATTTCGTTTTTCATGTGGAGTCTTCATTGATATGTCAATGAAGCTTCAGTTTTCAAACTCATTTTGAAAATTGAACATTACATTTACTTGATCTTTGAATAGATTGAAAATTAAAAACAATATTTCTCTGAATTCTTGGAATTTTCAATCATTTTCATTGTCACTTGAAGCTGAAAATTGTAATTTCGTTGAATATTTCAAGCATTAACTGATTTGTTTGTGACAATATATAGGGAAATTTCAGAAGTAATTTTCTAACATTTTTCAACAACAATTTTCAAAATTTTCTTCTCATAAGTAAATGCTGGAAATTTTTCAAGCTATTCCGAACTCTTTGTTTTTCAAAAACTTTATCGTTTATAAATTGTTTACGAAAGGAATTCGTAATCTCTAAAAATTCAATCTTCGAAATTTTCCCAAATGTTTCAAATGTTTCTTAACAATTCTAAATCAGAAGTTAAATTCACACTTTTAAAGTTTGAGTAAATAATTCGAGTAAACAATAATAATGATTTTTATCTAACAACATATATGGAAATTTCACGTGAATTACTTATAAAAAAATATGGATTATCTGCTAGAAATTCAAATAATTTTCTAACATTTTTTTCTAATTGCAAAATGCACAAAACAATTGCTTGAAACTCAGTCAAATAACGAAATTAATTTTTTGTTATCATTTTTATTGTTACAGAGTTACCGAAAAATAGCAAGACAAGTGAGTACGCCAGACAGTGCGCCAACAGGTCTTGGCAGTCCTCAAGCGGGTATTGGTGGTCTCCAGCAGCATCAAGCACCCCAACAACAACAACAACAACAGCAGCAGCAGCAACAGCAGCAGCAGAATCAGCAGCCAATTCACCCTGATCCCATGCAGCAGACAAAGGACACGCTCAATCCGGCGGGGAATCAGCAATCGGGAGCATTGAGAAACGGAAATCCACCACCTCCAGTTGTTTCAATGGTAGGTAGTCAGACTATTTTGCATGAAAAGAATTCCATCACGAGGCTATGAAGTATTTTCACCAGTTTGATGTCACGTACTCGTGTTTCTAATGTTTTATCAGCACTCGTGACGCTCCAGTTTCACTCTGATCGTCGCGATTTCATTCAGGTGCATTATTACCAGAGACTCGGGCCATTTATAGTGACTATCGTGTACACTAAGAGTTAAAATCGTTTTCTTGGGTCGTGTCAGACAGGAAACGCCTCTCTCGTGTGAATATGCATCATCCAAACTTGTGGGACTGAAATATCGTTTTCATTATTAAATTGCGGGATCGGGGTTGGTGTTCTCGATGATGAGTTAGAGTATTCAATTCATTGAGACTTAACAAGTGGAAGATGAGATTTCAAGCCCGGAAATATTAAATTCATCGATTAAGAATATTCAGTCCTAATTTAAGAAACTCTATAGGGAGATAAATGATTAGATGAAGACTATTGTTTTATAATTAATGAAAAGAATTCAAATTCTCTAAAGAAAAAAATTGTTCGGCTCCAGTAGTCGACGAGATATTACTCAAAGAAGTTTCATTGACTGAAGTTCTTAGTTAAGTAGCATATTCTGCATTTAGGGAATATTTTCTTTAGAAATGCCTTTTCCGTGTGAATATGTATTATCCAGAATTGAGACTGAAATATTGTTTTTATTATTAAACTAGGGGACTACGCCCCCTGCTCGCTCCGCTCGCCAACCTCATCTGACCCATATATGATGCGCATATGATTCTCATGTTCCTTATTTTGACCCTTGTGACCCTTAATCTGACCCTCATTATTACCTTTGTGACCCGTATTCTGACTGTCATGGCCTTTAATCTGAACCTTGTCACCCTTAATCTGACCCTCGTGCTCCTTATATTGTGCCGCATGACCCTAATGACCCTTATTTTAACCCTCGTCACCCTTATTCTGCCCCTCATGACCCTCATGACCCTCATGTCCCTCGTGACCCTTATTTAGGCCCTTGTGACCCTCAATTTTGGAGTCTTAATTTCGAGTACCAAGGTTTTTTCACTAGAAGTCGATTTGGATTTTTATAATATTGAGAGATTGTGGGGTCTGGGGTTAGTGCTCTTGATGTTAATTTAGGAGACATATTCAATTCATGCGGAATTGACAAGTGGAAGATGATATTTTAAAGCAAGAATTATTAGATCCATCAATTAAGGATGTTCAGTCCTGTTTTAAAATTGAAGAGTGTTCTGTCTGGAAATATCTTTCCCGTGTGAATATACATCATCCAGCCGAGAGATTGAAATAACGCGATTATTATTAAATATTGAAATTTCGATTCGATAATTTAGAGGTTCTTTTTAAACCATCGTAGATTGATGCGGGGAATACGGTCCTCATTAAACCCAAGATTGATCTCATTGATCGATTAAAAATATCCACTTGCATTTTGGGGAATTATACAAAACGGAAAAATGATTGAATCAAGAATTTTATTGCTAAAAATTTCTAACAATGCTATTCTTAATTCAATAATTCAATTGATTCAAATTGATTCAAATTCTATAATAATTTAATGAAGAACATATTTATATGTTCTTGATTTGAAAAAAAAAATCATCATGATGCGCCGAGTTCTCAAACAGGAATAATTATCCTAAAATTAATAATAAATTTCTTAATTGAAGAATTATTTTTTCCATGTCCCAAAATATCATGAATTACTCAAGTTAGGATGAAATGCAGATAATCGGCGTAATGACGAGAAATGTGAAAAAATAGATTTTTTGTCCTCGAATTTTTCCCACAAATTTTCATGCAAATTCACGGGATCTTGGTGTGGCAAAAATTCCATCGTCGTACGGGGTGAGGTGCAGCCACTTCTATTCCGCCCCACTTCACCCCCCGGTTTGAATTCTCCTCTCAACTCTCTTGGGGGTGTCTCTCCTCTCCCTTCTCTCCACCTTTCTCTGATGCACGTCGTTGCTTGCCAGTTCCTGTTCCTGCGGGTATTGATTCGCGTTGGCGGTCGGTCACCGCCCGCTCCCCCACTGAGCCGACGTCTGCCAGTGGTCTAACACACCCCTTCTTCTCAACGATGCGCCACGTCAGATGGGTTGTTTCTTCATACGACGATATTTTAATCGTCTGCATTCTGTTGAGCTTCTCATTTTCTCTCATTTCTTCCTAATTTTGTTGGAATGCTTATCAAGTTAGAAAATAGAACTTGTATAATATTTTTTTCTTGAAATTATAATTGTTTGAATTGAGGGGAAAATTTTGTATTAAAATTTCAAAGAAGTATTTTCGTAAAATTGAAATTCACTACAATACGAATATTTGAAGCACAGCATAACTCAATAATTGTAAAGGTATTCACAAAATGATCTGCATTCATTTTTCCCCTGCACGGAACTCTCAATTTAGAAATGAATATATCCCATTGAAGAATTAAATCTTTCGTCATAAAATATTTGAAGATTATTCTACCAACAACTGAAGGTAACGGGTTGAAAAAAATTATGATTCAACCCTTTTTTAAAGAATTTCAAGAGCTACAAAAAAGATTTCAGCAATTTTTCCAAAACCTAATAGTTTCGAAAAATTTTACAAAATAATCCGCACAAAATTCATGCACCTGAGACTTATTAGAATATGAGTGTTCTTTATTAATTATTTATTCATTTCTTGATACGAAAATATCTCCCCGATGAATTAAAAAAATCAAGAATATTTCAGTAGCGAAGTGATAAAAAGAGATAAGTCAATTTTGACTATTGACCACTTTTCAGTGAATATCTCGGAATCTAAGGGAGATGGCGAAATTTTTGTCACCACCTTTTTTGTGGAGCCGATTAAGTGCTACAACAAATATAGTTATAAAAATTTCGCTATCTCTCTTAGATTCCGAGATATTGCTTAAAAACTGATCAATAGTCAAAATTGACATCTCGCTTTACCGCTTCGCTACTGATTTTATACTTAACTCAAATTGAAATGAAAGGGAGAGAATTTCTGAATTAATCCTAATATTTTCAGTGAACACAATTTTTCCTCGTGCACTCATGTTGAATGCAATAATAATTCCATTCCGAAGGAAGCCAAATCAAACGCTAATGGATGTTTACCCACCGCGAATATAAATCACGTTCGTCCCCCGCAGACGTATCAGTCTCAATGGCAGTGATCATTGAAGCCTTCATGATGAAGAAATCGTTTGTTTCGTGTGTCCGATGGAACACGCAATTATGCACCAAACCGAGACCACGAAATTCCGGTGCCTGTTTTTGGGGGGATGATGGGCGGAGATGGGAGTGGAATATATGTAAGCTCATAAGCTGCTGGTGTGCAAAGAGAAAGAGAGAGAGTGAGTGAGACGGAGAGAGCGGGAGGAGGCGAAATTGCAAAGCCAATGCGCGGTCGAGGGCACATGTGGTTTTCACTTGGATATACCCGGCCGCTGCGTATATTTCGTGGTACACCTGTGTGGGAGAGGAGACGGGAAAACGGCTACGCGACTCAACGAGCCGGAATTCGAAACAAAGGTAGCAGTGATGTTTCGTTACTCGTGACGCGGTCAAATTACGTTAATGATTCACCCACTGTAATTCCGTTAATTTCATCAGTAATTTACATCATTGTAACCGTTGCATTCTTTCTTTCCCCCGAAATGTGCAATTTATTTGCGGAAATTGCTGCATTCCGTCGGAGAGTGAAAATTCTAAAATTAAAGTTCGTTAAAGTTTAAAGGTATTTTATTCTGAGAAAAGTCTGAAGCGAATCCAGAGCATTGGGATTTTGTACGAGATTATTTCCCTCTGTCCACTCCTTTTTAGGTTCATTTTCAGAATTTTCCGCTGACAAAGTTCATATTTTTTTTTAAGATTAGACTCTGCAATTTGGTAGGATTTGCATAATGAAATTACTCGGTTCCTGAACATGAAAATTAGCAATTTACTTTGGAGGAAAATTTAAAGCATGAGATTTGAATTTTTTTATCTACCTCAGCCCTTTGAGAATCAGCCGTCTTTATATGAAGGAATTAGTAGTCTTGTTTTTCGAGTAATTCTGTGAGGCGGATTTTCCGCTTTTCTCGGGTAAAATGAGGAATTCATTCTCGGAACAATTTGAATAATGAAATATTTTATGCCTTCTACTTCCTACCGTCCTTCATAGTCACATATTCGGAGAATGAAAATTAGGAATTTACTCGAGGAAAATTGGAATTTCAGGATGTGAACTTTTTTACATGATAAAATTAGTAATTTGCTTTTTTTATTAATTCACCGGGGATAATTTGAAGGGGAAAATTCAAATCTCTTTGAGACTTGATATTTATTTATATAATAACATTGGTAATTTGTTTTTTTTTATTTTTTTATTATTTTAATAAGAAAACTTGTAACTTGCACATTTGGTTTTCCAATATTTCTCTCTCCTGTGATAAAACCGGGAATTTATTCTCGGAACAATTTGAATAATGAATTTTTTTATACCCCCAAAGGGATGTTTTCCATCCGAAAATTCTTATTTTACCTCCGACGAAAATTTACACAAGTAAATCGATATCTACTATCTCCATCGACTCTTTCAGATGCCGTTTATTTATATTAAAAAAATATCTATATTTTATGGCCAGTTCAATTATGAAAATTGTAACTATCAAATTCGTGGTCCCAAAAGGGACATTTTCCGACTGAAAATTAATACTTTACCTCCGAGAAAAATTTAAACCAGTAAATCCATGTCTATTATCTACACCTATCCTTAGAGGTTCCGTTTATTTCTATTACAAAATTAGTATTTATATTTTTTGGTCAGTTCAATTAGAAAAATGTTAACTCACACTTTCGTGTTGTCAATATTCCGCTCTCTTCTCCGATAAAACGAGAAATTTATTCTCGAAACAATTTGCATAGTGAAATTTTATTCAACTTTCATGCTTACTATAAAATCGGTAATTTTTCATGGTTTCAGTGAGGAAAATAGTAACTCTCACACTCGTAT